AGGAGGGTCAGAGGGAGAAGCAGACTCCCTGCCGAGCAGGGAGCCCGATGCGGGACTCGATCCAGGGACTCCAGGACCATGACCTGAGCCGAAGGCAGTCGCTTAACCAACTGAGCCACCCAGGCGCCCCAAGTTTTACAATTTCTTAAAAAATTAAACACACATCTATCCTGTGGTCCAGTCATTCTAGTCCTGGGTATTTGAGAGCATGTGTCCCCACGGATATTCACAGCAGCTTTATTTGTAATAGTTGAAAACTGGCAACAACCCAAATGTCCACCAGCAGCTGAATGGATAAATTGTGGTGTATATATACAGTGGAATCCTACTCAGTGGTAAAAAGGAATGAACCACGGATACATGCAACAATATGGAAGAATCTCAAAATAATTTTGCTGAGTGAAAGAAGCCAAACAATAAAGACCATAGTCTACACAAGAGCTCACTCTTAGTGTTACACATTGTTTTTTGTTTGAAGAAATGTGTAATGATACGTATCTACCATTATAAGTATCATACAGAATAGTTTTCACTGCCCCAAAACTCCTCTGTGCTCCACTATTCATCCTCTTTCCCCTTAAGCCCTGTTGATTTTGTATGTGTGTGTGACATCTCCATAGATTTGCCTTTTCCAGAATGTCATATAGTTGGGCCTTTTCACATTGGCTGCTTTTTTCTTAATATTTTATTTATTTATTTGAGAGAGCATATGTGAACACAAACTGGGGGAGGGACAGACTGAGAGGAAGAAGCAGACTCTCTGCTGAGCAGGGAGACCTGTGTGGGGCTTGATCCCAGGACCCTAGGATCATGACCTGAGCCAAAGGCAAACCAACTGAGCCATCCAGGCGCCCCAGTCAATTGATTCTTTTTTCTTTTCTTTTTTTTTTTTAAAGATTTTTTATTTATTTACTTGACAGAGACAGCTAGAGAGAGAGACAGCTAGAGAGGGAATGCAAGCAGGGGGAGCGGGAGAGGGAGAAGCAGGCTCCTCGCTGGGCAGGGAGCCCGATGTGGGGCTCGATCCCAGAACCCTGGGATCATGACCTGAGCCAAAGGCAGACACTTAATGACTGAGCCACCCAGGCGCCCCTAGTCAGTTGATTCTTAACAAGGTGCTAAGACAGTTTTGGGGGGAAAAGAATAGACTTCAACAAATGGTACTGTGTCATCTGAATAGTCCATGGAAATAAAGTTAGACCCCTTCCTCATACTGTGTATAAAAATTTGCTCAAAATTGATCAAAGACCTAAATGTAACAACTATAACATTTTTAGAAAAAAACAATGTAAATCTTTTGACCTCTGTTTGGACATTGGTTTCTCAGATATGACACCAGGAGTACAGCAACCAAAGAAAAAATAATAAATTGGACGGACTTTATTAAAATTAAAAACTTGTGTGTGTCAAAGTACACTGTGAAGAAAAGTGGAAAGACAACCCATAGACTGGGACAAAATATTCGCAAATCATACAAGTCCCTAATAAGCAAATGGTATCCAGAAAATATAAAGAACTCTTATAACTCAGTAAAAAGACAAATAGACCAACTAAAAAATGGGCAAAGGACTTGAATAAACCTTTCTCCAAAGAAAATACACAAATGGCCAGTGAATACATAAAAAAATGCTCAACATTAGCTATCAGGGAAATGCAAATCAGAACCACAGCAAGGAATGCCTGTCTGGCTCAGTAGGTAGAGCATGCGACTCTTGATCTTGGGGTTGTAATTTCCAGCCCCACATTGGGTATAGAGATTACTTAAAAAATAAAATTGTTGGGGCGCCTGG